GTGTCCATGTAGACGAGTGTACGTGTGGACGAGCGTCCATGTGGACATTTTTCAACAGAAAATACACAAATCTTAAATTATTTAATTTTGGACTTTGGGTGTTTTATTTTTACCTCCACAGAAAACAATAAATAAATAAACAATAAATAAATAAATAAATAATAAATAAATAAATAATCCAAACTGAATTTTCTCTTATTTTTAGATTCTGGGGTGTTTCTGTTTGGGAGCAGTTCATAAAACAGAATCAGGACAGTCAGCGGTGGACGGGGGTCTGAGTGGGGTCTGAGGGGGTCCAGGTCCGATCTTGGACCTAACAAGCCGATGATGAGTGGGCGTGGAGCTAATGACTGATAAACATCTCAGCCAATCAGGAGGCCCCGAGAGGACGATAACAACGACAACAACAGGTCCCCGAGGAGCCGAGGGGCGTGTTTCAATTAACCCGAGCTGACAGAGGGGTCTCTGTGATCCTGGACCGTCTTCTGTTCCCACCTTCATCTCTGTCCACAGACAGATCTGGACCTGACTTCAGCCAAAACTAGGACCTGAGGTGACCCAGTCACTGTGACCCCCCTCCACCAGAGCTGAAGTTTCTGCTGCTCTGCTGAAGTTTACCCATGATGCACAGCGTGCCGCCACTTTTGGAGAAAACTAACAACAAAACAACACAAACAGCTGAACTGTGAAGCACAGAGGCTAAAACAAGCAGAACCATAGCTAAAAGCTAAAACAAAGAAAACTAGCTAAAAGCTAAAAGAAGCAGAAATATGCCTAAAAGCTAAACCAAGCAGAACTCTAGCCAAAAGCTAAAACAAACAAAACTCTAGCTAAAAGCTAAAGGAAGCAGAACTTGAGAAAAAAGCTGAAAGAAACTAAACTCTAGCTAGAAGCTAAAACAAGCAGAACTCTAGCTAAAAGCTAAAGGAAGCAGGACTTGAGCAAATAGCTGAAGGAAGCAGAACTCTAGCTAAAAGCTAAAGGAAGCAGAACTTTAGCTAAAGTTAAAACAACCAGAACTAACACCTAAAAGAAGCAGAAAAGCTGAACTAGACAGAACACTAAGCTAAAAAACATAACACTAGCTAAAGCTACAAAATGCAGAACACTAGCTAAAGCTAAAAAAGCAGAAAACTAGCTAAAATCAAAAAGAAGAATAAATGCTAAATATATAAAAGGTTTAGCTAGAAGCTAACGCTAGAAAAAAGTTAAAATACAAAAACGCTAGCTAGAAAATAAAAGTTGCAAAACAGTAGCTAAACGTTGCACATTCTAAAACTGCAGAAGGCTTACTAAGCGCTAAAAGTAGCAAACAGGTAACTAAAAATTTAACGTGGCAGAACAGTAAACGAAAGCTAAAAGAAGCAGGACGTAAGGTAAAAGTAGCTAAAATGTTTAGCTTATTTTAGCTTTTATTCTGCAAAAAGCTAAATTAGTAGGGGTGCACCTGATTTCCTTAATTTTGGTAAATCGGACGATGCATGAGAAACTGATTTCACAGATTTTTTTTGTTTGTTTTAACAACAACTGTGTGAACTTCATTTATTCAGAGCACGACCTCGTGGCCAGTTGAAACAAGTTACTGTTTCTAGGATGTTGATCAAGGGTTTGTTTTTCAACAAAATAAGATGGAAAATTGAACGTGACCTGATAACTCCTCACAGTGCCGCTTACAAAATAAAATCCGTATCGGCCAAAATCGGAATCGGCAGGTCAGACTTTTTAGAAATCGTGATCGGTCAGAAAACTGCAATCCGTGCAGCCCTATAAGTTAGCACAGCTACAATCCAAATGTAGCAAATGGCTGGCTAAAACCAAAAAGCAGAAGAGGCTAGCTAAATACCAAAACAGTAGCTAAAGGTTACAAAGGACAAGCTAAAATCTAAAACTGCAAAAGGCTCGTTAAGAGCTAAACGTAAGTGAAGTGGGAACCCTGAGAAAACTGGAGCCGATTTCAACGAGCTCAAAGTTTCTGAAGGAACTGCAACGACCTCCATGTTTTCCATAACAGCAGCGTGAACGCTGAGTCATCGTTCCCAGAGAAACAAGTGGTTTTGGTGGATCTTTACCACCTGGTCAGAGATGGAGGTGGGAACTGGACCGGGCCCAGAATCACACCGACCCGGTCAGCTCTGGGTGATTGAAACACGCCCCTCGGCTCCTCTGGGACTCGTCGCCGTCTCTTTTTGGACCGACTGAGATGGTTATCAGCCATTACCTCCACGCTCACTCATCATGGGCTCGTTAGGGTCCGGTCCACCCCCTCCCACCCAGAGAGCCCCCCCACGGTTGATGGGTTTGCTCCTGACAGACGGTGCTGTGGGAAAATCGCTAGGCCCACTCTCACAGGAGCTTCTCCCTGAATTCAGTCATTTGTAAAGATTTACCATTTTATTTTATGGCAATTAAAAATAAACATTTTCTCCCATAGAACGTAGAATGAATGAATGAATGAATGAATGAATGAATGAATTTTTAAATGTAGTTTGGAGTTTTAGGAAGACCCTCCACCCCCCGACCTGCCAGATTCAGGGCCCAGAGAGGAGGCTCTGTTTTCAGTCACGGGTCGACCACATTTGGTCACAGAGCTTTTTATTATTATTTAATGTTTTACAAAACTTTAACTTCCACGTCATCGAATCGTTCAGGTCGTCGAACCGTTCAGATCATCGAACCGTTCAGATCATCGAAACGTTCAGATCATCGA